ACTTACTAGTTAGGTTCCTGGCTCGATTAAATGGACGCTTAACTAAATCTACCTCTACCGATTTTAGGTGATGTTAATCAAAGTTTAGGTATTCATTAGAATGTGTCAGTTTTCTATAGATGCTAGTGTTTATCCCACTATCCTTATTGTCTTTTGATTTTATAATTTAACATGGCCAACTACTCACTTTGTTCATTATCTAACTCAAAAGTGAATTGGATTCCATCTACCTCGGAGTTAATATGTGTGAAGAACATGAAGATGTGTTCAGATTTTAACCCAGTGATGAATGTATCATCCACTCATGTCTGCCATAACCTAGCAGCACAGGACTAAACATTCTAAGAGCCGCAGCGGTAAAGAATAGACACCAACTTCAGACGACCTTGAAACAGCCAATCAGATTTTTCTAGGTGAGAAGTGGTACTTAATTTACAAAGAAGTGTGTCTACTATTTACGTGTAATAAAAATGAATCATATAGGGTATATATCTCTAATATGCTGCAAAAACTAGCCCCAGATTCTCCTAGAAGTGGTTATAAACATATCAAACCACTGTATTCTCTATTTCTCCAGTTGTAGCAGATACTGGTTGCATATAAGCAACATATAATCAAGGGAGACCTTTGATTTTGAAGTGTTTAAAAAGTCACCAATTATGTACGACTTACCAACTTATACAGACTTCCTCATATAAAATGGTTGCATCTGAATGTATAACCATCACTAGCCCGGCAATACTTTTGCAGAGTCATTATCCCTCCACATATACATGTTTTATTCCTCCCTATCAACACATTTTCCGCAGAGAAGTCAAAAACCAAATCTGGGAGACATTTTCAACTAGGATTATAACTAGCAACCATTTGTAATGCTGAGCTATCTGATAGGTCAAATCAAGGTCATTTGACTTTAGTGTCTGTTGTTTACTCTTGCTCTAAGAGCTTTGTGTTCCCAACTATTCATAAATATGTCTGCAACTATTGGGGTGGGGATGTTAGTGATTCCATTATCACCCCATTTGTTTCTTTGTATATCTTATTTGGGAATTTATTAAATACAATCAAGGTTAGATAGATATAATTGAACATCTAATATTATTTATTCAAACAATACCTTATTCCTATTTGTGAGTTCACGGTCATTCCTTACTGCCTCCAGAGCTGCACTAATTGGAATATTGGTGTATAAACTTGTTCCATGAAAACGAATCATTTTGTCATCCTTTTTACTTGAATTTCACCTAACTTTTGTTTCATTACATAGGAGTTAGTTAGCTTAGAATCTGACCGATGCCTCTAGTGGGACATGATATTGTTACCAAATATGTAAGATGATAACTCATAAGTGTAGGTATGTTCTTAAAGTCAAATGTTGGCCTAGCAGGATATCATGCCTTATGAATTTTCATGGTCTGTCTGTCTGTTTTCGACATAGAACTTTGTACATATGTGCGGCAGTTCAAGTCACCACACTCCCACCTTGTAGCACACAAAGCAACAGAAGAAAGTAGGAGAAATGCATATTAGAGACAGTAAACAGAAGTGTGAGACAAAGGTATAGTAATAACGAAGAACAAAACAGTTTAATTGGAAATCATAAGTCACAAGGAGTGGATGCATCTGCGCCAGCCATCATTGAGAACGATTTTGAGCCATGTCACCAACCATTGGCTTTTACCGTCCCGAGGACCCCAACCAGTTAGGAAGCCTACATCTTCCTACGTGGCTTAAGCTAACTGTTGTGGATTTCATTGACTGGTGCCATGTTTTCGTTTGACCGCCCTCACCTGGCTGCATGAGTACGAGTAGAGTGCCTTAATCAGTGCAATGTATTTTCTCGGCATTCCTTTTACAGCCAAGCATCGCCAGAGAACCTCTCGGTCGACAGAATGGAATACCGCCTTTAGGTCAAGAAATATTATGATTGTTGGACGCCGGTAGGAATGCCTATGTTCTAGAATCTGTCGGAGGGTGAAGATAATTTTTTTTCATGGTATTATCCATATATACATGCATTACTAGGATTATTAGTTTTAGGCATTCACATAATTCCTTTTCAATTAGTTCCTCATCATCATCCGTTCTACACTAATATATAATTTTTTACATCAAAAATTTTACCAATCAAATGGTTATTTTAGTTAATCAGTTTCAGGTACAGGCGGGGGTGAAATTAAGAGATTAAAGATCATCAAAACAAATAACTAATAGATGCTAGTAACAAGATATCTAAGTTTTAAAAGAGGGGTGAAAATTAATTACGGAATTCAAGTGTTGGCAACAAGTTATTACATAATCAAGAAATTTGTTAAATAACAATGATGACTAAGAAGAATAGGATGACTCAGAAGAGTTACATAAAATACAAACAAGTTAGTAGGATCAGCTAGAATTGTAAAAATTAACAAAGTCAAAAGATAGTTACAAGGGAAGGGGAAAATATCGTTTTTAAAAACTTAATACATATTAATGTAGTTGGCTATGGCAAAGAAAGGGGCTGTAAAAATTTCTTTTGAACACATAGATTTGGCTTGTTGAGAGATGAATTCCGATTGCCTCCGCTATATGTAATAATAATAATAATAATACTGTATCACTTTGCGTTATATAAAGTTAACTTATCTGACATTTATAAAATTATATTTGTAAAATCTCAGCGAAATTGAAATGATTAATTCCAACGTTTCCTGGTTCGGCAATCTGGTCCGAACTTCTTCAGGGAAATTAATCGAAATTAACATAACAGAGGTTTATATATAAAAGGAACAACTCTTGTTTTTGAAACTTTGTCCAATCATGAGCCATGCAACAGTCATCAACATGTATAATAAATAAAATTGTATGTTTATATATAAAAGTACATCTCTTGTTTTAAATTGTTAACAATTTTAACAAAAGTAGACTAATTTTAAAAGTCTGAGGTCAAATTTTGATCACAGTTCATCAAAAATTTTTTGTTTTGTTTATTATACCTATTGATAGCTGTTTCTTGATTCATATGACAGGACAAACAATTTAAAAACAAGAGATGTACTTTTATATAGTACAGTTCACTCCTCAGCATCAACAACAAAATTCGGATTTTCAATACAAACGTCAAGTCAGTCAGTTCTTCTATACGGATGGATCAGAAACTTAGCGGCGGGTCACAAAGAATATTTCCAACAGCCTGTTGCAGACCTTTATCAACAACTAACTGTCTTCGCTGGCTCTATACTGAAGATCAGATGGCCGGAAAGAATCACCAACAAGAAACTATGGGAACAAACAAAACAAGAACCATCGCCAACAAATATGCAGGAGAAAGTGGAGATGGATGACATCGCTGAGGAGGCCTGGTCATGCGCAGATGCTCGAGTGAACGAAGCGCGAGTGGACGTATGAGGAGATCGTAAATATCATTTAAGTTATAATAGAGGGTTGAAAATATAAGTGAGGTGGGTGGAGAAGTCAGTGGTTGGTTAGATCCTAATAGGCCAAGGGAGGGATAATGGCTGTACGAACTTTGTTTGAATGTGTAGCTTAGGCTTAATAGTTCGAAGCCTTCCTCGTGTGTGTAGTAGATGAATAAAGTTGTTCGTGGAATGCGATGAATACATTGAAGTTTTCGTTTTCTCCACTACATGTTCACTACATGTCAACTAAATGTGACAAAATGGAGCTACAGATTGTTTTTGTCTGTCCTTTGCCAAACCACCATGATGGGAAATGTTCAGTAACACGTTGGTAACCATACCGTATTTAGCACACATTTCATGTGATGAGAAGAGTGTAAGGCGTGGAACTACTAACTTGCTGCGAAACATTAAGTGGACGGCCTTTTTATTCTTTCTTGCAATAATAATAATTGCTTTATTCCAAACAGTACTTTTGGTACAAATATGGAATTTTCAGCATGTAATACAATATTGTATCTAATTTTCTTATTACAGGCAATATTTAAGATAGGGCATTTACATTAATATATTGTTCAGTAAGGAGTGAATGGAAGGAACCTGAAAAAACAACCTCTTACCAACCGACCTGGAAGCATCGTTCAATACCGGATACGAGATAAAGCAAGATCGGAAAAGCAATGTGGAGGTCAACAGCCTTACTCAGCATCAAAAGAGATAAGATCCGGATTTTCAACTCCAATGTGAAGTCAGTCACTGCTACTATACGGATCAGAGACTTGGAGCGTCATAAACAGCATCTCAAACAAACTACAGACCTTCATTAACAGTTGTCTTCGCTCAAGATCAGATGGCCGGCCAGAAAAGATCAGCAACAGAGATCTCTGGCAATGAGCGAACCAACTCAGCAGGAACCGATTGTGAAACAAATAGGCAGGAAGAAATGGAGATGGATTGGCTGGCCATACTCTGAGGAAACAAACCATCAAGTGACATCACTAGACAAGCCATTGCTCGAGTGGAACCCGACTGAAAGGGAAGTGGCGAGTTGGTCGTCAGTGCGAGGGTGGGTGACTTGGAGGAGGTCATGTGAAGAGGAGATGAAAACGTGTGGGCAGACTTGGAGCCAGGTGAAGACTCTAGCAGAGAACCGAACGCAATGGAGACGGTTGGCTGAAGCCCTATGTTCCTCTAGGAATTAAAGGAAACAATAATATATAATAATAATAATAATGACTGTTGCATGTCTCATGATTGGACAAAGTTTCAAAAACAAGAGTTGTTCCTTTTATATATATAAACCTCTGTTATGTTAATTTCGATTAATTTCCCTGAAGAAGTTCGGACCAGATTGCCGAACACAGGAAACGTTGGAATTAATCATTTCAATTTCGCTGAGATTTTACAAATATACTTTTTTACAAATGTCTACTTCTCACTCAGCGCTCAATTATTTTGCAACTATCCGGTCAAATCTTGATCAAAGTTCGTATAAACTTATCTGACATAGAATTTGTTTTTCTATATACACACACAGATCGAACTCTTCTGTTCATTTTTATAATTGACCTCCTTGTTGTATAATTTTCTTTTTCTTCTTAGGAGACGGTCGTATTAAATGCATTCTTGTGAATATATTTGGTGGTATTGTCAACTGTAAAACAATCGCTGAAGGTCTTATATCTGCATTGAAAAAGAAACCCATAAATATCCCAGTTGTTGTTCGACTAGAAGGGAACAATGCAGCTGAAGCTCATTCACTTATCTGTAATAGCGGTCTGGAATTATATGCTGCTAAGAGTCTAGAAGAGGTGGCCTCTGTAGCAGTTAGTAAAGCAATGCAGAAATGAGTAAACTTTGTACAGTGAATAGAAGAAGAAGAAGAAGAAGAAGAGAAAGAAAGAAGCATCTCTTCTCCCCCCTAGATACAAAATTGTGACCGGTCTTTCCAGCTACTTTTTTATTGTTTCAAATTTTATTATTTATCTATGTATTTTTTGTTTTGTTTTTCTCCTCTTCCTTTTCTAATTCTACTTCCTTTTGCGAGACTTGAAGTTTATTTCGTGTTTTTCAATACAATTTTGCTTGTTTATGGAGGATTTGTTGGCCTTATTGTAGGCCAAAGTAAACATAGACGTTGAACATACGAAGAACCGGTCTTCTGTCATTGATTGCTACCGCTTCAGCTACTGATAGAAGAGCGTAGTTGAGCTTGACTATCGGTTATTGTATGCTTAAATTAATCGATTTGTAATTGTAGAACCTGAAGAATTTATTGAGAATAATTAATTGTTCATTCTAACTATTTTTATTTTAGGTAAATCAGATTCTTACGGAGTCTGAAGTGTAACTACAATAGCAACTACGCTATTATTAGGATTACTACTCACTCGTTAATTGCTTGAGTTCTGAGTGGAACATCGGGACTTGGTGGCACATAGTCCATTGCATCCAGTCGTCTACGATCATTCACCTGGATCCCTGACTTACCTACCACAAGCTCTTATTTCTTCCTCATATAATTTTCGCCACGTCACTCTTGTATCAACGTCAACCTGTTGCTCCGCATTCGGGTTTCAGTTGGTAGCCGCCTTGTGTATGATGGATGTCCAGTGCATCCATCTCTTTTCCCTTCTGCATATTTGCTGAGTAATAGGTTGTTGCCTGGCTCACTGTCAGGATTCCTAGATTCTTGATGTTTCTCATGACGACGTTGGTCAGCACTAGTGTATACTGCATGTTGGTTAGGTTTTTAGTAATTCTGTCAGCATAATCATGAAACCTACAGTCGATATATTGAAACTGAACTCAGATTATATTTTATTGTATCGAGAAGTACCCAGCTGGCATTTTCTTCGGGTGCATTCCAGAACGTGGGACAGTGATCTACAGTCCGCCCCAAAGTTTCTGCAGTTGACCTTAAACTTCAACTGCTCGCCTAAGGTTATGCATGCAGTGGACCCTAAGTCTATTATTATTATTATTGTTCCCTTGGGTTCCTAGTGGAACATAGGGCTTCAACTGCACGTCTCCACTTGCTTCTGTCTTCTGCCGTACTTTTCATCTGCATCCATGTTATTCCATACTGTTTCAACTCCTCTTCACGCGATCTCCTCCATGTCACACTTGGACGTCCCAGTCGTCTCTTCCCTTTCGGGTCCCACTCGAGCGTTGGCCTGACGCGCGATGTCACCCAGCGAGTGTCCAATCCATGTCCACTTTCTCCTGCATATTTGTTTGGCGATTGGTTCTTGTTTTGTTTCTTCCCATAGTTTCTTGTTGGTTCTTGTTCTTTCCGGCCATCTGATCTTCAGTATAGAGCCAGCGAAGACAGTTAGTTGTTGATAAAGGTCTGCAACAGGCTGTTGGAAATATTCTTTGTGACCCGCCGCTAAGTTTCTGATCCATCCGTATAGAAGAACTGACTGACTTGACGTTTGTATTGAAAATCCGAATCATTTTGTTGTTGATGCTGGGTTGATTGACTTGGAAGATTTCCAGATTGGTTTCAGGTTGATGAATGTGTTTCTCGCCTTCCCGATTCTCGATTTGACATCCTCGTCCGTTCCTCCTGTAGTTGAGACAATGCTCCCTGGATAAGTGAGTGAATGGAGTAACCTCTTTCAAATCCTTCCCGTTGATGGTGATTAGCGCTGGATGTTGCTGCTGTTGTTGTTGTTGTTGGTTGGTTATTTTCATAACCTCCGTCTTGTCTATGTTCACCTGGAGTCCTGTCTTATCCAGCTGCTTCTTCGACCAGTTTGTCGGTTTTCTCTTGTAAGTCTTTGATCTTGTGTGACATCAAACATAAATCATCTGCAAAATCCAGGTCTTCTAGGTTCTTCACGTCGGTCCAGGATATCCCTGTCTTCTCGTTTCCCACTGTCTGACGCATAATCCAGTCCAGTGCACCACAAATAGGAATATCATTGGTGATAATAAGCACCCTTGTCTGACTCCTGTGTTTACTGTTAACGTCTCGGTGAGTTTTCCGTTGTGGATCACTTGACATGTGCCGTTGTCGTACAGCTGTTGAATAAGGTTGATGAATATTTGTGGTACGCCGTAGTACTCGAGTAGTTTCCAAATTACTTCGCGGTCAACGCTGTCGAAGGCCTTCTCAAAGTCTATAAAGTTGAGGTAGAGGTTTGATTGCCATTCCATGCTTTGTTCTGTGATGATGATGCGTAGAGTTGCAATTTGGTGAGAACATGATTTGCCTTTCCTTAACCCAGCTTGTTCTGCATCCATTGCGTCCTTTATTCTCTCCAGGATGATGCGACTTAGGATTTTACTTGTCGTCGACAGGAGCATGATTCCTCGCCACCCCAAATACATACGTATTATGTACACAACTTGTCAGAACAAACAGCATACTCCCGTCGACTCAAAGACTTATGATATTGAGAAGTAGTTGAATTTTAGAAAACATATACTTACTCTTAATGCAAAATGTATTTACAATGTGTGAACATATCATACAAGTCAAAAATCATTTGAATCACGAGAAGTATTCAGTCGTGTACTTTCTGAAGAAACTGTCTGTTCTCCTTGTTCCGATCGACAATGATCTAAAAATAAGTGAAATGAAAAATGGAGACATACCAACGGGGAACGTCGTCGTTGCCTTATTCTTGACTTCAATCTGCCACGGCTGTGTTGTGGGACCACCGTCGAATGAATGCCATGACTGCGTCCACTGTGGTCTGTCTATCAGCATTGCCTTGCTGGTAGAAACTGTTAATGGTTCCTGACAGCAAAATTCACTTACGAATTACAGGGTTACTAATATATTAGTAGTTTAAAGTCTGGTCTGGATTCAACATAGAACTTGGCACCGAAGTGCGGCAGTTCCAGTTACCACGTTCCAAATAGCACACAAAGGTAGACAAGAAGATGAGTGAAGAGAATCAATAGAGTCTTGACAAGTATAAGAGTAAAACAGAGTAAGTAATGGTAGAAAGGAATATGAAAGATTACAGAGACTGAATACATCTGCGTAAGCCATTGACAACGATTTTGAGTCATGTCACCTATTGTCTCCAGCCATCGATTCTTAGAGTCCCGAGGGCGGGCCCCAACCCGGAAGTCTGCATCTCCCTACCTGACTCAGTTTAACTGTCAAGGATTTCATGGATTCATTGATGCCATGTTTTTGTTTGGCCACCGCTTACTCTTTTCCAACCTGCACCTATATCAGCTAGTAATGCCCATCGGGGTGGGGGAGGAGATGGTTAGGCATGAGCAGCACGTGACCTAGCAATCTCAATCTATGTAACTTCATAGCCTCTTCGATTGATTTTCCCTCTTTACCCAACACTCTACGCCTAACGTCAACATTACTTACCTTATTATGCCACCTAACGTGTAAAAGAGATCGTAAACATCTATGATCAAAAACAGTCAACCTTTTCATGTCTTCAACTGGTATTGGCCATGTTTCAGAGCCATAGAGAAGGACAGAGCGAACTGCTGAGCAGTACACACGTCCTTTGGTTGATAGTCGGATGTCACGCCTACGCCAGAGACGGTGTAAGTTAGTGAAAGCAGCCCGAACCTTTTGGATCCGTGCTGAAATTTTGTCATCAATCAATCCGTTGGTGCTGATACAACTTCCCAAATAGGTGAAGTGGTCAACATGTTCTATCACTTCACTCCCTATCACTAAGCTAGGGGTAGACGTAGTCCAGTCCTGTAGAGTAGTTTAAAGTCCTGTTATGATATCAAGTCAGAATGATGGATTGCTTTTCAGTATATATTATATATATATATATATATATATATATATATATATATATATAATAGCTTGAAACCACACAGTATTTTTGGTACAAGTATGGAATTTTCAGCATGTGATATCGGTAGCCTAAATTTTGCAGGCCGACCATAGATATCAGGGGATCGAACCCCGGACCATGTGCATGGTCGGCGAGAGTCCTAACCACTGTGCCACCGACGCACACATGAGGAAATCTATTGAATTGATCCCAATCGTATTGTCGTTGTTAACCGTTTCAGCATATAAACGAGATAATGAATTGAATCAGAAAGTCAGAAGTATTTTATTAAACTGAATGTCGTTTGTTACGATCCTAATACAGGTAGAACATCATGCTCAGAATTTCTAAAAATCAGATTATCAAATAATTATCGCAAAAGTCGACAGTGGTGATGTCATGTAACGATAATGTGATCACAATGTCTTTGGGACATAGAGTATCAGTTCCATGTATACTGTCACAAACATAAAGTAAATCCAACACAATGAAAAGCTGGAATATGCAGTTTAACCGCTGGATTTAACCTTATGCTGTCTTTTATGAGTTCACAATTCCAGCTTCGCAATCAAATCAACCAGCTCAGAGAACATAACTAATTCAGTAACCTTAATATTAATCACCCTATTATATCACCTAACACGGGAGATAGAACTCACACACCTATGATCAAAGACAGTTAACCTTTTCATGTCTTCCACTTTCAGTGCTAGTGTCTCAGAGTCATAAAGGAGGACGAAGCGAACAGCTGAGCAGTACACACTTTCTTTGATCGATTGTCAGATATCATGTCTATACCAGATATGATTTAGTTTGGCTATCGCCACATGAGCGTTTTGTATCCGTGGTGAGATTTCGTCAGTGATTATTAGACCATTGGGGCTTTAGGAACTTCCTGAATAAGTGATGTGGTCAGTACTCACAGTTACCAAGGAAGAGAAAGATTTACTTCAGTCTCTTTTTGAATACATAGGTCAAGTTTTAATTAATAATAATGATAGCCCCTGACAATTTCAAGGCAATGGAGCTTACTTGTCTACCTTATGTCAAGTGTCAACCAGATGTCTCAGTTTTACTTCGTCTTAGCCACAGACAATTTGGCATGAGTTGAAAAACTCTAGAACTGCCGAATATGCTGTTCGCTACACAGAATTCGGTATAAGAGCATGCGATATCCTACCCAGGGATTTCCAAATTTAACTGCTAGTTTTCACTGCATTTTCGGTGGACGAATATTGGAACATTGTCCTGTTAGTAGAACCTTTGTTGAACCTCCTCTAAAGGTGTATAAAGCTCATTTGTGTAATTTCTCATCCACTTTCAACAAAACCAATGGCTAGACTTTTGAAAACCATTATTAAATTCTTCCACAGGTTTTATTTGCGCATCTGAGTGACACAATACTGGCGTTGCGAGTGAAACGTAAGTCGTCAAGCTTGACCTTTGAAGTTTCAGTAGCAGGGGTGTTTTTTACGAGGTGCGGTTGCTGGTCTGATGCCCCACCTCCCCATCTTTGTCGGGCTTA